ATACTTTAGTCTCACGGTTCGATCGTTTTTCGATACAAAAAAGAGAAATTTCCATGCCCATTTTAACTTGTAATTTATTTAAATGAATTATGAACATTTGTTTAACCTCAAAAGTACAGTTTTTAAATTAAATGTTGCTGAAACAGCAAGTTTCTCAGTGGATCTGCGCTCAAAAATGCAGCCTAGGTGGAGTAGTCGAACACAGATCCACTGATCCTTCAACACAGAGCATCTTCAGAAGACATGTTGATAAAGTAAATTTTAAAAATCTGTATTGTTTGATACAGCACTGTTCGATACGTTTTGATATGGGTACATGTATTGTTGCACCCCTAATATACATATATACATATATATATATATAACTTATAAGCTGGTTTGTACTGTATGTTTGTATATAAGCTAGTTTGTATGTTTGATGTGTCTGAAAGCTTCTGATGAATTGACTGCTCGTCTCCACAGAAATAGTTGTGAAGACTGAGAGAAGCAACTACAGCCGTGAGAAGAAAGTCATCTTCAAACGTTCCAGCAGTGTGAGTAAGTTCATCCTGCGGGACACCTTCCACAAAGATTTCACTTGGAACTCAGGAAAGCTGAAGCTGCAGGCCATCACTCTGAGGGACAGGTTCCGAGACCACAGAGGTAAAAAAACGGAAACATTCTTCTTCTTTTTAAACGTTACCATGTTTTCATATCCGTATGGCAGCTGGTGACAAAGTTTCCTTGAAGCTCAATTTGTTTCTACGTTTCCCCTTCAGTGACGTTTGATATGTTCAAATACCACCCCACCCACGACTCTGATGAAGGCGGGTTGACTGTTCTCATGTCAGTGGGTGAAGGCATGCACTTCTCCTGCTCCATGTCTGCAGACAAACCTGAGCTCCAGCTGGAGGTAAACACTAAACGAAGTAAAGATGTGATCACTCTAAAACAGCAGTTGATTATTTCTACAACTAAGGTTGACTGGATCCATAAGTAAGAAGTTTAAATCATTATTTTACATTTAAGTTTTTACCAACCTGCATCTGGCTGAAGTCGTTGCTTAACACCTGAATATTTAACTTACAATAACTACTAAATACTTATGAGGTAAAACCATTTTAGATATCTATAGCACAAAAATAAAACGATGTTTTAGAAAAAATGTATTTATTAGAATAACAAAAAAGAACTAGCAAGTATAGAGAATTGATACCTTGGCTATCTTAACCATCAGCAATTATTTATATAAAAGAAGATGAAGAGGAAGTAGAGTAGGCACTGTCAGGACATGAGGATGAAGAGGATCACTGGGAGCTGGCAAACTGTGTTCTCTCCTGCAGAAATATCAGCATTAAACCACGAAAAATGGAAAATAAAATAAAAGCTGACATGAAAATAATTCTTGGGGAAATGTTTAATTGAACCTATTTTTTAAATGTAAAGTCAAAGTGTTTGCTCATTAAGGTGTAATCGATAAGAATATTTTTCTTACTCTGAATCCGTGCAAAAAATATTGATAAGATAACTAAAATTAATTTGTATTGTCACACAGATTAAAAAACATAAACAAAATTATTATTTTAGGAGAAAAGTCATATATTTTCTGTTATGGTACTTGCAAATATTTACCACACCACCACTGCCTACAAAATGCAATATATCTCACTTTAAGCCACGACAAACATAACAAGCAGGGTGAGAAGGGAAATCCTACTCTAACCACCTAGTTAGCTTAACTTAACTTAGCATCCAGGCTTATCTGTAGGATGATCTCTACCACTCTGAAAACTCCAGAGCATATTGCAAAGTAGACTCAGTGATGATGATTTATTGGTCAGATGAAAGTTGGAGGTCTACTTTCTTGCTTAAAACATCTTGAAACAATTTTTTGTGACAAACACACAATGGTAGAAAAATACTAAATTTCTGCACTTTCTGCACTACACCTTCTCTGTTTACCACTGCTGGTGGCACAAAACATTGTAGGATATGTTGTAGACCAAATGTTTTGAAACTACATTAGCCAGAATTCTTTGAGGCCACTCAGACTTTCATTCAATACATTCAGTTTCAATCAATATATTCAGGGTTCATTCCATATATTCAGAGTTTCAGTCAATATATTCAAGGTTCATTCAATGTATTCAGAGTTTCCATCAATATATTCAGACTTTCAATCAATATATTCAAGGTTCACTCAATACATTCAGACATTCAATCAATATATTCAAGGTTAATTCACTGTATTCAGAGTTTCAATCAATATATTCAAAAATCATTCAATATATTCAAGGTTCATTCAATATATTCAGACTTTTAATCAATACATTCAATAATCATTCAATATATTCAGACTTTCATTCAATATATTCAAGGTTCATTCAATATATTCAGACTTTTAATCAATATATTCAGTAATCATTCAATATGTTCAGACTTTCAATCAATATATCCAAGTTTAATTCAATATATTCAGAGTTTCAATCAATATATTCAATAATCATTCAATATATTCAAGGTTCATTCAATATATTCAGACTTTTAATCAATATATTCAATAATCATTCAATATATTCAGACTTTCATTTAATATGTTCAGACTTTCATTCAATATATTCAAGGTTAATTCAATATATTCAGAGTTTCAATCAATATATTCAATAATCATTCAATATACTCAGAGTTTCAATCAATATATTCAGGGTTCATTCAATATATTCAGACTTTCAATCAATAAGGTTCATTCAATGTCTTCAGAGTTTCAATCAATAAATTCAAGGTTCATTCAATATTTTCAGTGTTTCTATCAATATATTCAATAATCACTCAATATATTCAGACTTTCAATCAATATATTCAGGTTTCATTCAATATATTCAAAGTTCTAAGTAAGTAAGTAAGTAAGTAAACTTTATTTCTATGGCACCTTTCACAGACACAAACATCACAAAGTGCTTCACAGAAAGCAAAAAATAATTAAAAACAATAAAACAGATCACAGATATAAAAACAACAATTAAAACACAATAAAAAGCACTTAACTAAAAGCCTGTCTGAATGAAAATGTCTTAAGATGTTTCTTAAAAGAGTCAGTAGAATCTGTTCTGACAAAAAGTTCTGACAGTATTTATTAATAATAATACTTTCCTAAATGGTATTCCATAAATGTCATACATTCTGATTAATAAAATATAGATTTATGATGTGTACATATTTATTTATATGAACTTGCTGACCTATTTCAAGATGTTTACTGTGCAGCTATACGGTTCATCACATCAATACTGAAGTTAAAACAGTGATCAAAGTAATAAATTCCTGTGTCAAACTATGTTAAAAGGCATTATTTTAATAATAATTTTAAAAATCCCACGATGATTACATTTGAAAAATGTATTCTAAAATCAGTATTAATTTAATGTTGGCAAATTCACCTATGATGAGGCATATGATGTAAAAAGGACGTTACTATTTCAACATTGATCAGATTTGCAAAATCAAAACAAAATTCAATGGTTTTCCAACACAACCACCTGATGTTGATTCAACAGTGACTAGATGTCAAAATGCCAGCTGAACTCTGACATCAGATTCAGAGTTGAGGTTGAGCTTTCCACATTGCACCATTATTCATGTGTCAACATTTTTTCAATGGTTAATTTATCAGCATTGATTGGATGTTTGAACAAGGATGTTTTTCAAATGACATTTTGCTGAAAAATGTTTTAGTCATGTTTGTGAAAAATAATGTTGATTAGACATACAACTCAAAACTGGTTGAAATTTCAAAGCTGAATCCATAGTGAGTTAACAACACCATTTCAACTGTTGGGTGTTCAACATTGCTTTGACGCTGAGTCAATGCTTTTACTGACATTTCAACAACATTTAAACGTTTAATGCCAGTCATATTCACACCAGATACAATGCATATACCTGAAAGAATTCAGAATAAATACATTTTGTTCATCTTGTCTCTGTCAGGAATGCAGTTTGGAGAGTTTAAAAGAGATTTGTGAGGATGAAAACACCAATCGCTTCCTGTTCACCAGGAAAACGGAAGGAGTGTCTCTGACCACGTTCGAGTCTGTGAAGTACCCGGGCTGGTTCATCAGCACCTCCTATGATGGGACCAACAATTCGGTGGAGATGTGTCAGGAAACTGATGGACGGGTCAGAAGTTTCAGGTTGAGTCAACCATAGATATGTACAGGAGATACCTTACGGACTGGCATGGCCTATTGAAGCGGACGCTTCAGTGCGGCCGCCATCTTGGATGGGTACCTCTCGCGCTCCCAGCACATTTACTTATACTGAGAAAGGTGTTCATTCAACTAAAATAATCGCAACTCCATGATTTTTTTTCACATGATTTGGTTTGTTACAAACAGCAGAGATGTAGTTATGTTATTGGACACAGTCACACAATAAAAATAAGAGCTTTCATGCTGAAATACTTTTATTGTTATCTTAAATTGTCTCTTAAATTGTCTTTATTGTCCCTCAGTGGTTATATTCAGGTGCATCAGCAGCAAAATGACAGGAAATTCACACAGGGTGAACATATTTTGTATGAATAAGAAATATTTTTGAAGAATTTAAAGAAAATACATTTTGTAATAAAGAACTGTTGATTGTTCCTTTGAAGATATTTCTCTTTAGCACAATCGTACTTATTTACAGAGCAATAACACAAGAATTTATTCATATATTGTTTTATTGTGCTGTGAATGCACACATGTGTGTACCTATAAGTACACACA